TTTCAAATTTATAGATTGATAAGTTTATTATACCCGCTGCATGGAATAATTAGGAAACAATTCCGCTGGCACATGCATGACCAAATCACTGGTTGCCATGGCGCTGTTTTTGCAATAGGTCGCTGAGCCTCTCATCAGTCGATTAGACGGATTGCACTCCCTTCATTCTTTCACACCGACGTGTGCAGAACACTTCAACGCTTGTGACGTAGCCGTGTTCGTACTGGAGTACGTTTTACTGCGAGAACGATATCTCCTTGTTGACTATCAGCGGTACACTAGGAATCATCTAACATCGGAGTATTCGCTATTCATACGAACGTTGAATCCGAGCTTCATTGCGTGGACAGTCAGGTTTGTCGGGTATGTAAGGTAAGGCCCACAGTTACCTACGTAGTGTGTTTCAATGCACTCACGTTTTTTTCGCTGGTATTATAAATACATTATCGTGATTGCGTTAACTTAAAGTGAACGAGAACAGACACTGTCCACGTATAAGTTCACTGACATTAATCTACACTGGGTTAACATGACGGAATCCGAAGTGGATGCGAATGAACAAATATTCTGGATGTACACGGCGTTTAATGTGTCCAATATCACGGAGACTTATTCCAACCCGTTTGATGAATTACGGGCAGGAAAGGATCTTGTGCGCCAACTGGCTTGGCTGATCGGTGTACTATACGCCGCTGTGTTTATGGTCGGTACTTTGGGAAACGCTCTGATAGTCATCACCGTAGCATGCAACAAATCCATGCAGAACGTTACGAATTATTTCATCGCCAACCTGGCAGCCTCTGATTTCATAATGTGTATTTTCTGTATACCTTGGACGGTAGTTAACAGTTTAATGGACAACTGGATATTCGGAGACGTTATGTGTCGCCTTGTACCCACCATACAAGCAATTTCGGTGTTTGTGTCAATTACATCTCACGTTGTTATAGCGAGCGATCGATACTGCATGATAACGTACCCGTTGAAACCACGGCTGACCAGGGCTATTTGTTTTGTTATCATCGCTCTATCGTGGACCTCTGCTACAGCACTCGCAATTCCTATAACATACTTCACCAAAGAATACGACCTGCGTGTTTACGGCTACCACATCGTTTGTTACGAAATGTGGCCATCAGAAGTGCCCAAGAAAGTATATGAGATTATTCTAATATTACTTGGCTATTTAATTCCCTTGACTGTGATTATTACACTGTATGGTAGAATTTCTTACGTGATAACGAGTCGAGTTTTACCAGGAGTGTTCACAGAGGCACAGGAAAGGCAGGACTTAAAAAAGAAACAGAAAACCAACAGACTATTAATAGCAGTTGTAATGACATTTACGATATGTTGGTTCCCGATGTATATGATTCGTATCATCACTGAGATTAATCCAAAGGTATTTAGCGGTGAATACCATGATTTAGTGTTTTTTATATGTCACTGGTTTGCCATGAGCTCAACCGTTTACAACCCTTTCGTATACGCCTGGCTACATGAAAAGTATCGCCGGCGGTTAAAATCGGCATTCGTAGCAAAATGCTTCCGGCGTTCCTCAATCTACCGCCAACACAGCAAGGAAGGGGTGGCGACAACGCATCTACAAACTCGCGACTACGTTACAAACTCTCCTAAATCTACAAGATTTAGTTCCATGCGAAGTTTGAAAGGAGTTGACACAGTGTAAATATTTGCCACGCTCTGTATACATGGAAGTAAATGACAGTGTTTATCTGAGAGAGTGGAAGAGGTCAGTAGATTTGACCCTATAATTGACGATACGCACATTTATTGTAACGGGTCATGTCGACATGTTGGTTGAAATTAGTACCACCCTTCGTGCAATTTGAAAGTTCGTGATATCAAATCTGTATTTACATATTTAAGACGTCTGCGTTCGACGTGTGTTTACATTCAACATTAGCCTTATCATTGATTTAATTCTGTGCAGTTAAGCAGCTTATATATTTGTGATGAACAGAATTTTATCTTCGTGTTAAATTGTGCAAAAATCGAATGATTTGTGAAAATTCAAATCCAAATAACGGAGAATGCCCACACCAATTGGTTCAGCATTTGGAAACATACCGGATTTATGTTGTTTCTGCGAACCCTAAACGTGTTCATATCCATTTAAATATACATGTCTATTTGTCTCGGAAAGTTACTGCTTGTGGTGTACATTCTCGCCCATTATAATATTGTTTCTGCTATAGGCAATACACACACCAAAATAGACCGTATTTGGAGTTTTACTTAGATGGTACGTGGAAAGCATGCTTTTCACTTCATTGTTATACCCACAATGTGACAACGAAGACGATAATGAGTTCGATTTTATTCCATACACGGAATAGAAATTCTATTATGTCCAATCTTTTACATATCTATATTCTTTAATGGAATTTGCGACCTCTGTGGCTGTGCGGACTGTAAAATTATGCATCATCCTGTTATTACGCAAATATTACATTGGAAATATGACACCTCGTCACGTGAAGTGAGACGGCTTGTTTACATATTCTCGTAGAGAGATTTGATGGACTGTTCAATATATTCATGAAATAAATTACCTCATATGAATGTCTTTTGTCATTAACTAGTCTGTACCAATACTAGAACCCTTTGATCGAGATGCTTTACTGCTATGAGAGCACATGGTCCGATTGCGCTGGACAGTTAGCAGTTGGCTAAAATATTAGTTTTTATCTAGGCATAGATAACTTTGATTTTAGCACAATTGTTTACATGTAACCAAATTACCATACATATGGCTGGCTGCTTAAGAAAATATTAGGATATTCCAGCGGCATCACTTTGCGCGGTGCGCTGATTAGCGAAAAATGTATCCATTGCTGTTCATCTTTAATTCTTTGAAATCTGTGGTAGGTTTGCCGCTAATCGCAGGTTGCGCGAAAAGTGACGAAATAAATCAATATATTATAAAATTCGGTCATATTTTTGTATTGAAATGCAAAGAATATCTTTTTATTATATGGCCTTGAATGAAAGAATCATGATTGTCTTTACGTTTCCCGAAAACTTAAGCCTGATAAAACCCCGGGCATCACTATTTATACTATTTACGGGTACACGAGACAGCAAGTTGTTTTGAAAATGACCGTCCGGGATTTCTCAAAATCCATCGTTTGTAACAAATTTTCAGGAAACGTCCCTTGAAATAAATTTTCAAGAAAAACGCACGCCTAATTGATGATAGAATGGACTTAGCATTGCCACATTTCACACAATATATCACATCAAAATACGGCCTTTTTGTTTTCCCTAAAATGTCAAAAAAGTACCATTGACCATTTAAAACATAATTTATAGACCCCGTTGCGTGCCTCGCATACACGCTGGTAAATTTCTACTAGGGACCCCGGGAGGGACGCTAAAACGTTAATTCATTCTACGCCTAGGCGCCTGAACGAGCGCGCGTCTCAAGTGCCATGACCGGGAATCCTTGGTCCGTAACTGGATTCTAATATAAGGTTGTTATGTATTCTTCACAATTTATACTATATACCAAGTAACTTCCCCGTACTTCTCTGTATCTTTGTCAACATCAAGGCTTTTATCAAAGCCTATGTGTGCCACGCATAATTCACAAAGCCGCTTACAAGAAAAAGACTGACAGCTGATTGATGATTATAGCGTAAGGAATAGAGAAACTATTCATGAATTACGTTTAAACTTGCTTGAAGCAAACATTGATTGTGTAGAATCCTATAAAACGTTTTACGGCCATAGTGTCTGATGAATCACACCATTAGGAATTCATTGTTGTAATGAAACAGCGTGTACGGAGTCACCGATATTCTGAATACTTCAATGTAATGGAACTACAAATATCAATGTGAATCCAACTTTTGTTCTCGAGTATTTGTTATCCTAGCAACAGATGTGTTAGACTAGTGTGCTCATGATATGACAGGTAAAGGCATCACACTACATTATTCCCTGCGTAGACGACAAAGTGAAAATAAGCCTGTACACAATATTGATCATGAAAACATGGGAAAATTAGCTTTTATAGTTTTTATAATCATAAACGATATCACCACAGTCATTTCACACAAGTATTTCGAAATGAAGAACACAAAATGAAGTACAAGACTGGAAAAATCGAAAATTACCATTTCAATATTGTTATGTCGAATTTAAAAACTGTTTTAACAATTACTTAGGTTAGTGTGTTATGCAGTGTAGTAGTGTGAATTCATCAAGTAAGAAAGGCATTGCGTACTATATATATTTAACCCGTTTGTGTCACATTGTTCCATGTTAACAGTAAACCAGAATGTACGTCACAAAAAGCGTTATTAATGTATGATAACAATTTACAAAAATATATTAATCGTCGACGGTATGAAAAGGATAATGATGGTTTATTACTGAAAATACTAAAGCATAATTGGGGTATGAAACAATATTATAAAAAATATAATAATTAAAACTGAATATGCTACATCTGGGAGTAGATTTTAAATGAAGTAATTAGTGTGTTTTGTTATGAGAAATATTTTAATGAGTAACAAAGATAATCAGGAACTACAATAGTCATTACAATTCATAATATAAGTGACACGTGACCACAGTCAGTTACTGTATCTGTGTTTTGTTGTGATAACTTGCAATATGTAAATGCTTTATGTATTTACAATTTGGAATAAATTTGCGAAATTAATAAAAATATTTATATTCTACATATCATACAAATACGCACATGATTCTCAATGTATATAGTTATAGCATATCTTCTGGGTGGAAATGCGGAAGAGTTAAAGATAACTCTATCCGTAGAAAATACAATTAGAATAGTAAAAACACGTAAGTGAATTTATAGCCGGACTGTGTAGAGTATACCGCCAAAGACTATCAAATTGACGGAGACGAGATGTTGCGCTGCGTATATGCGGCTAGCTTTCATCCTCGTCTACTTTCCGACTATACACCATACATTAAATTGAAATGCTGCTAAACAGGATACGCGTCACAAAGAATACTATTAATAGAATTTAATTTGAAATGTTGCAATAATAGCCGGAGGATAACAAAATATGGGTGAACATAGCATCATGTAATATGTAATTACGGGTTAATTGTGTATGATAACTTATTGTATGGTGCTTGTTTTCGGAAATGATTTCTCCAATATCATATGGTTTATACTTATGTTACATTATTATTGGTTTGTTAGTAGGTTTTTTGAGTAGATTTACAAATTTAAACCTTGCGGTTTAAGGGTGCCGTATGATTTGGAATCGTAGACGTACGAAAATCTGATACCGACTTACACTGCAAAAAAAGAAATACAAGTTAAAAATTTTGAAATCAACATTTGTTCTGTGCAAAAACTACTATTTTGCATATGAATCGTTTATTGTATATCTATTACCACATATCTGATTCAACTATAGTTGTGTTCATGACAGGCCATGTCCGTATTTAATCGAGGTTGTCATCTGATAAAATTATAATTCAAGAAAGTCACGCGCGGCTTTATTACATATAATTGAAACTTTTATCACATGCGGTTACGATGTTTAAAGCGGGGTAGTCTTCACCTACGCATGCGGCAAACGGCCGTAGCTTGCCGGTGTTTACCCATGAGCCTTTGCATTTTAGCGTGCGTTGTTATCGCCGCTTGGGACTCAATTCACGCGCATGCACACGTGACGACCCCTCCGCTTTAATTATAACAATTTAAATGTGGTGTCTATTAAAAATCAAAACACTCCTATAAACTATAAATAAAAATATAAATAAGACAACAAATGATGTCATATCAAATTGTGATGTAATGGGCGTGATGTGATTGGCGTACCTACAGCTCTCTGTTATCAAACAAGTGTATGACGAGCCCGGTCTGATTTAACGCGACGATACTGAGATGGAGTAGAATGGTCAACAAATGCAAACAAAGTCCCGTGTTATTACAGACGTAATTGTTTTCACAGTTTCGAGCGAAAAGAAATAAGGCCTCTGATTACTCAGGGAGTTGCATTATCAGACCTCAGTTTTGGAAACATCGTTTAGTTCGAATGCTATAAGTCTTTCCTCGTAGCTCAAAAAAAAAAATAATAAAAAAATATATAAAAAAATAAATAAATAAATAAATAAGTACTAAGGTGGATGGAATACGTGCTTTACTCCTTTATTTCTGTATCGAGATGTCACTGTTAATTATTTCTCCGTAAATCTGTGTATCTGTGTTTTTGTCAGAATCGGTGTTGGTAGAACATATCATACTACAGAAAACTAATAACACAGTCAGTCGAATCATCTTAGCATATGGGTTGTAGTTTATGTTAATCAGTTAGCATATGTACATTACAAAAAATAACAATATGTACTCACGTAAACAATATAAACTGGTTATGCTTGCACCCGACAAGCTATTCGGCGACTATTGTTTGCAATCAGATCATGTTTCAATAGACTGCAGTACTGTAATGAACACATACATCAATCACACACAGCGCACTTGATGAAAATTGCAATTTCACTTTTATCCATTGTTCTGATCTATTTGTCTATTAAAATCTTACTCTAATATAAAGTTAGAATTTTATATTTCAACATTTGCCATCGAAACGGGTACATTTGATTTAATATACATTGTGTACATAGACGTTTCTTCTAGCAGGAATAATCTATATAACCTTGAATATTCTCATCTCA